CAAAAGTATGAGGGAGGAGATGGGTGTTTGATGTGTTATAAATTGGTTAGTACTTCAGACTAGATATGAAGGTACATAATTCCATAGTCCAAGTCAGTAAGGCCAGCTGAGATTTCTCTGAACAAATTACACATTAATGACTTACTGAAACATTTCCATCAAAAAGAGAGATGCAAGGAACTGATATTACTTTTAAAAATTCCTCAAGCTTGGCTATGTATTAGAAAAAAATATCAATTTTATAAAACAAGGATTCAGCAGCATCCAAAAGACACTGGAAGATGAAGTCTGAAAGTTGTATTATGATAAGCATTACACATACAACTGTCTTCATAGTAAATAGTTCATTGTGTAAGGCCAGAGTAACACAATCACAGATTGTATTAACACTTTTTGCGCTGATATTAGTGCTTCTGAATTAAGTATAAGTCCCACTTTATTTCTACTCAGAATTCTCAAAGCTGTTTGTTAAATTTTAACTGTTCCAAATGCACATAAATGCTTACAGCAGAGGCACCTGCAAGCTCACAGTCTGGTGCAAATACTGCCTTTTTAGCTGGTGTCACAAGAAGAAAACATAGCCTGACTTCCAAACACTGTACTGTACCTATAAGGTTGTCAATTAAAGAAAGAAAGATTCATACACATCAGGACCAATGAAAGAGAAAGCAGGGAAAGGAGTGAAAAAGATCTCCACTGTCACTTTCATTAAAGAGCCACATAAAAATTGTTAGGTTCTTTGGATTTAAACTCCTCACAGATAACATCCTGTATAAGACATGTTCGACTGTGTTAAGAATTATCGTTAATTTCTGCAATATTTTATTGCAGGTTGTTTCATGCATTTTGAAAAGTGGTCACAAATCTACTAAATCTACTTTCCTAAACCGAACTATTTTTTTTTAATCAACCTATCTTAGAATTTCTGTATTTAAGGCATAAAAGGTAATAATAGCTTTACCTTCTACTACTGCAGTCTCTTCTTTCTTTTTGTCTAGCACCAGTTGTTCCATTTCTTTCCTTAGGTCTTCCTGATTCAGATTACAGGCATCAAAAGCATCACTCACAAATTCTGACACACCTGGACTTGTAGAAATCTCTTCCTCGTCCTGCAGTAAAATAGTTTTGTATAAGCTTATTGAAAAAGGGGAAAAAAATGTCACCAATTCATACTTCCACTCATGTGACTGCCTGCCTTTTAGATCAGAGTCAGCAAAGAAACAAACCAAATGCATTACTCTGGCAGCTATTTTTCTTTATGGGCTATTTTTCTTTAAGAGTATTTTTGTACAGACAAAAGTGTTACTTTTATTGAAAACGATCAGCTTTTTTCATCCCAGGCTCCTTTTTGCATTCTGGTAACAACTTTAATTCTGTTTTTGTAAACATCAGAAACAATAATAAACTCGTAAGTATTTTAGAACAGTACCTAAGACTAATATTAAGTTTCGACCACAATTCAGTAACAGTTTTCTACATGCAAGTAAGATTAAGAGAGGACTGTTCTTTGGAAATCTTTCTAGCTTAATTTAGTCCACTGCATATTACTGTCAAGTGAATGCACAGCTCTGCTTCTGCCAAGAGTATTCTCTGGCACTGATTTTACAATCCAGAAATGAACAAGGGTCATTATGTGTCTAAGTTAAAGGTTTTTACAGGATCAAGCAAAACTCTTCTTGCTGTTGCAATAAAATAATGTTACTACTGCAATGCATCATTTAGATTTCCTGTACTTAAGCCTGACAACTGCTGAAGAGCTGGACAGAACATGGTACATAAATATATTTTTATGAAGGTATCCCTCGTGTCTAAATACAATACAAACCTTTTACTTAAAACATTTTGGAAATGTCACCTTTCAGAGTAAAAACATGTTTTATTATAATGTGCAGGATACTAATTCAGAGATCCCTCAGATAAAGTACTGCTTTTCCTACTGAAAATGAGTTTGAAGTGTGTGCACTAAAAATTACTATCACAGCAGAAAAGCAGCAGGTTAGGACTATCAGATACTGTATTATTATGGTTTTGTAGCACAACTTACTCAAAAGGATGCACAGTTACTTATTAACAGTTTCACATGCTAAATACCAGATAAAATATAACAGCATTTTTACCTCTTGAGATTTTATTTGAGGCTTTATCGTAACAGGTGGTGTTTTTGGCCGCACTGTTTCTATCAAGAGGGAAAAATAGATAGATTACATTTAGATGTATAAAGATTTAATTTAATCTGCATAGCTATTAAAGGAAATATTGTATTTTAAGTTTTAAGGAATCCTGGTGGTTAAAGGCTGAATTCAGCCATAGGTGAGGCATTTGCAACAATAAAACACCAAAGAAGAAATTTTATAGTCTTAATTAAGGCAAAGGTAGCAAACCTCATTATGACTTCAAACTTAAATCAGGGGAACCCCTCTGCCCCTCAAAACAATCCAAAGAACTACGTCAATAGAAACAGTTGGGAATCTGAAAGAACATCTCCTATGAAACACTTACAGATTGTACCACACGTCATAAAGGTGTAGCCTCTGAGGTCATGAAATCCAGTTACTGCCTATCACAGAAGTTCCCAGAGTCCCCTGGCTGGGCACTACTACTGACACGGGCACTAGTTCACCCCTAAATGCACACGAGAAGAGTGCTCCGCAGCCTCACCTCCTTTCACACAGGCAAAGGAAGTCACTGGAAAACAGAAACCCTAGAAACTGTTCCCAGTTTCCTAAGAAAACTCACTGTGCATTCTGTATTTAGTAGCCTGGTGCTTGGAGGACAACAATTGTTTACAAACAGGGACAGATCTTTTTTCTTGGCAGATCTTCACGCTTGGCAGGTAAAGGAACACCCTCGCTTTCCTCCTTGTGCAACTACCAGGGTAGAGGAGTCACAATAAAGAGCCAGGTGGCTGCAAGAACAATTAACATCCTGGGCAGGCTGTGGTGGTGATGGGCTGCTTGCTTAGCACTTCTATTTGTTTAAACACACAAAGCAGCTCTGAGCTTGCAGCTTTGCTGACTGCAGTGTGCCCAGGTGGACCTTATCTGCTTACTCAGCAGTTTCTAAAGGGGGAATTTTTTCAGGCTTAATTTTAAAAATTAAGATCAGCTCTAATTAAAATAATTCCCTAATTGGTAGCTGTCACAGCTTATACAGCTTGATTACTCAATGCCCACTGCTCTGTCCCATCCTCTCTTCATTCCTGTGGTGGTTTCACTTGGCTAGCAGCCAAACACAACTGCTTGCTCACTTTGCCTGCCTCCCCCAGGGAACAGGGGAGAGGAGTGGAGGGGTAAGGAGACTCATAGGTTAAGATAAGAAAAATTTAGTAATTGAAATAAAACTTAAAGTAATTATATTAAAATAATAATAATGGTAATAATAAAATATATGAACGAGTGATGCACAGTGCAGTTGCTCACCACCTACTGACCAAGCCCAGCCCATTCCCAGAGGAACAACAATCCTGAAAACTGAAATTGCAATGAGCCCAAGTGAGAAAGAGCCCCTCATTAATATACTGAACATGACATTATATGATATGGAATATCCCACTGGCATATGCAAATGATAATCTGGATTACTAATTTTAATATTCCTCACCCCAACCCCAGACCTTGCATCTGAAAACTAGCAAAACACAAAGTCCTTCAACTTCCAGTGACAACTGAAAACATCAGTATGTTATCAGTGTTTCTCTCACAACAAATCCCATACTGGAACCAAAACACAGCACTATTCTAGCTACTAAAGAGAAACCCAGCTCTGTCCCAGCTAAAAACCAGGACACTTCCCCTTCCCAGTCTTCAGAGGATCTGTTATTGCACCCAACACCACAGCCAAAGAGGCTCCAGCACTCCCTCCTCAGGAGGCTGCAGAACATGGCACTAATTCCTTGCTGTTCAGCACCAAGTCGGCGCAGGACGGGTGCCTTAAGCTCCATCTGCTGCTCTCACGCAGCAGCAGCACAGCAGCTCCGCAGTGGGCTACGCATCAGTCTGAGGTGACCAACGTACAGAACCACCGAACACCATGACCACTATTCTGGATCTGCTGGCCTGGTATCATCTCTTCCACTGCTGATGTGCTCTCTGCCCCTGAGGTAACTTCCTTCCCAAGTAAGTAGTTACTCATACCCGAAGAAGGACTAGAACCTGTCATTTTTTTACAGATCTTATATAGCCTCTACAATAGCACATGGAATGTCTTCCATTTGTCCCTTCTTTTTTCCTTTCACATGAACTATGCTAATTTAACTTGGTGAAAACAGCAGGTAAGGAGATGGCAGACAGAGATAAAAATGGAAGGCAATTAATTCTATTTCAATAGATATCAGTCAGCTTTAAGAAGAAACTATGAACATTAGGAAGAATTACCAATAGGCAATTACTTCCAGTTTCAGCCTCCAGTTAGGGAATCCAACCTTCAAAAAGGTTATTTAAACCAAAAATAACACAGATGATTCAATGCTTCCCAATTCTGTGTAATTTTCGAACCAAAACATGTATTTACTACAGTCTGGTAAATGTATCTTTGCCATTACAGAACATACAGTTATTAGGACAGTAAATTTATCTATAAGACCTATAACTGGTCTTCTAAATTATATGAGATCCATAACAGGCCAAAAGACAGTGGGGTTTAATTAAGATATGTTTTCTTTTTAATCACAATGGTAATTTTACTAGAATAACTCTTTGGGTATTATCCAGCAACTTTCGCTTTGACTGGCAGTTTCCACGGGTTTGGATGACTCAAGGGTAAGGGGTTTGTTGTTCAATAGGGTCAGTTGCCATCTCTCCTGTAGACTTGAGACACTTCAATTAAAACACCCACAGTCTGGCAAATGCCAATACTGTACTGTTAAAAGAAAAAGGGAAAGAAAGAGAAGGGAAAGAAAGAGAAGGGAAAGAAAGAGAAGGGAAAGAAAGAGAAGGGAAAGAAAGAGAAGGGAAAGAAAGAGAAGGGAAAGAAAGAGAAGGGAAAGAAAGAGAAGGGAAAGAAAGAGAAGGGAAAGAAAGAGAAGGGAAAGAAAGAGAAGGGAAAGAAAGAGAAGGGAAAGAAAGAGAAGGGAAAGAAAGAGAAGGGAAAGAAAGAGAAGGGAAAGAAAGAGAAGGGAAAGAAAGAGAAGGGAAAGAAAGAGAAGGGAAAGAAAGAGAAGGGAAAGAAAGAGAAGGGAAAGAAAGAGAAGGGAAAGAAAGAGAAGGGAAAGAAAGAGAAGGGAAAGAAAGAGAAGGGAAAGAAAGAGAAGGGAAAGAAAGAGAAGGGAAAGAAAGAGAAGGGAAAGAAAGAGAAGGGAAAGAAAGAGAAGGGAAAGAAAGAGAAGGGAAAGAAAGAGAAGGGAAAGAAAGAGAAGGGAAAGAAAGAGAAGGGAAAGAAAGAGAAGGAGGTTATGCTGCCCTACAAACTTACAGTTTAATACTGCCCATTTGCCTACATATTTAGCTTGCATAAAGGAAACCTTCAGCACTGTAATTGACAACAGAGTAACTTCTATTTGACTAGCCCATTAGCCACAACATTGTCAGCTTTCATTTTTTCTGAAATTGGTTTACTGAAGCAATAATATGCAGAAACAGAAATCAAATAAAAAACTCAATGGAAAGGGGAAGCGTACTGATAGTAAACAGACTTCACAAAGAATATGCTTATTAACAACAGTAAAGAAAATACCTTTTGGCAGAATTTATGTTTCTAATCTTTCCAAATGCAACCTTTTCCTCTGTATAAAGGACTAAATGCAGTATCAGATAAAAGGATAATACTCAAAGATTTATTGTGAGGGACTACAGAAACCAGAGGACAGTCACTACTCTTAATAGCCTAAAATATAATACTTTCAGTTGGTGGAATAAAAAACCCAGAGGAACAGAAATCCAAAAAAGATAAAAATTGCAACAATTAAGAAATCCAAGAAAGAAAGAAAATTGGATAAATGCATTTAGATGACCATTAGGTGCAAAGGTTTATGAAATAATGACAATCCCAGTGACTTCCCGAGTTGATGGCATCTGCACAGGGTAACAGTAAATACAATTTGCTCATAGAAAATAACAAAAATGGGAGCTGAATATGGTGGGAGTATAGAAGTGATATGACGTGAAAACCTAAGTAGGAAACAAGCCTAAACACAGTCTGCACTGAAAGGTAAGGACAAAAGCTTTTGTTATGATGCAAGAGTTAGTGCAGGATATTTAAGGGTAGTTCTTTTACACAAGGAAAGAAAAAAAAAAAAGTCTCTGCTTGCACAAAACTGATCAGTTGTTTCTCCATATAATCACATTTCCTCTACTGCTCCTCTGTTTCTACGGAGAGAAAAGAACATGTTTACAAAATGATGAAAACAGTAGGAAGATTCACTACCATGTAATTCTCAACTTCATTTTTTAACCTGCACATATTTTAAATTAAAGGTACAAAAAAGCCCAAACACAAGCTCTGTACTCCTTTGCTTAAAGCAGCCTTCGGAACTATAATAAGCAAAAGAATTACATCATTATAGTAAACACATAAGTCAACTTAGGCTATTTCTATACAGTTTTTGTCAATCTCTCCAGGGAGGGAACCCTGGTCCCCACAGCCCACTGGTGTGGGCTGGCAATAGTTACTCTCCTCAAAGGCTAGCACACTCTGGAGGGCAAGTGGCCTGTGCCACTTTGCACACATTGGGCCTAGATTTCTTCTGTGCTCCATGTAATCTGCTCGAGTGACGCCAGGAGTCCACATTACTTGGATTTAACTCAGAGAAAACTACCTCCTTCTAGATGGGGACCTTGCCTGTGTTAATGCCTGCACACTCTGAACAGAACCTGAGAAACAGAATGAGACAAACTAACAGCAAAGGCACACACATAAAAAAAGCCTGAGGAAATGACTACAGTCCTTTTTGAAAAGGTATCTTCTACGCAACATGCAAGCCTGGCTCTGTAATTCCCCTTGTAACCTCCCCTTCACCCCAAGGTTCAGCCACCTGTCCAAGGAGCCAAGGCCCAGATGAGTAACCTTAGCTCAGGCTGCGCAGAAAATTAACAAGTTATGCATAAGAGCTGTGAGAAAGTCTGCAAAAAGATAAGAAATGTGGAATTAGAAACGGAGGTAGGATTAGAAAGCTGGGATCATTAGCAGTGCAAGGACTCAAGAGGAAAAATACCAATACAGAAAGATACTCTATCCGAAAGGGGGGAAAAAGAAGCCAACTTGGCAGTGATCAGTTGGTTGTCAGTCAGGCCAGGAGTGTCAACAGGACATCAGCATTAATGGATTTCGTGGATGATGAAAAATTATTGATGATGGGGATATGAGAATCCATTCCAAGGTGCAAAGACTTTCTCTTTCTGCCCAATGCCTACCCAGCCTGCCAAGATTCTTCAGGTGTCTCACCAGAGGTGGTGAGCTACCAGTTATCTTTTGTGTCTTAGCTAGTAATTGCTTTACACTCTTTAAGCTGCACATATTCCTGCTTGCAGAATTTGTCTGCACACAGATAAAGATGCCCAACGGTTCATAAGACTGTCAGTAAATAAGCTGCATAAACTGATCAGTGTAACTGAAGACACCTATGTTGAAGTGGCTTTTTCATTTCAAGGTTGAATCCCAGGTAGTCTCCTGGTCCCCATCTTCCTCCTACGATACACTTTGAGCCTTTCCATGTCCTGCATGCATGTCTGTCTCCACCACCAAAGGAATTCTACCCCCATATCACTAACTTCGTTTGGCCTCAGGCCTAAGCACAAGCCAAGAGCAAACCATGTCAGCTGGCTGGGTTGGCTGGTACCTGTTGTCTTAGCAGGTGAACCAAAGGTACCTCCTACTTCTTTCTGACAAGACAAAAAAGCACACCAAGGACCACTAGTGATCTTGAGCTGTTATAAGCCAAGTACTGTCCTTGTTTTTAGCTGGGACAGAGCTGGGTTTCTTTTTAGTAGCTAGAACAATGCTGTGTTTTGGTTTCGGCCTGGGATTTGTTATGAGAGAAACACTGATAACACACCAGGGTTTGCATTTTTATCATTGGAAGTGAAGGACTTGGTGTTTTTTTAGTCTACAAGTGCAAGATCTAAGGGGGATGAGTAATATTTAAATTAATAAGCTAAACTGGCATTTGGGTAGGCCAATGGGATATTCCATAACATATAACGTCATGTTCAATATAGTAATGAGGGTCTCTTTTCACACAGAATCACAGAATGTTGGGGATTGGAAGGGACCTCAAAAGACCATCTAGTCCAATCCCCCTGCCAGAGCAGGAACCTAAATGACATTACACAGGAAGGCGTCCAGGCGGGTTCTGAATGTCTCCAGAGAAGGAGACTCCACAACCCCCCTGGGCAGCCTGTTCCAATGTCCTGTCACCCTCACTGTAAATAAGTTTCTTCTCAAGCTTAAGTGGAACCTCCTGTGTTCCAGCTTCTGCCTGCTGCCCCATGTCCTATCATTGGTTGGCACCGAGAAGAGTCTAGCTCCATCCTTGTGACACTCACCCTTTATATATTTATAAACATTCATTAGGTCTCCCCTCAGTCTCCTCCAAGCTAAAGAGACCCAGCTCCCTCAGCCTTTCCTCATCAGGGAGATGCTCCACTCCCTTAATCATCTTGGTGGCTCTACAGTGGACTCCACTAAACAACCCCAGGCTCCAGTACAGGTTGGGGAATGATCTAATAGAGAGCACCAGGATTTTGGTTTTGGTTCCGGATTGTCGCTCCTCTGGGATCATTATTTGGAAACAGGTTGGGTTTGGTTGGTGGGTGGTGAGTAATTACACTGTGTATCACTCATTTGCATATTTTATTACTATTATTATAACTATTATTTTAATATTATTATTATTCTAAGTTTTGTTTCAATTGTTAAATTGTTCTTATTACAACCTACGAGTCTCCTTACTCTTGCCCTGCAATTCTCTCCCCTATCCCCTGGGGTGGGTGGGGGGGTGGAAATGAGCGAATGGCTGTGTTTGGCTGCTAGCCAAATGAAACCACCACAAGCACAAAATCTAATCTCTTCAGATTTCCACTCTTCTGACAAAGTTGTCTGAAATTGGAAAATGGCTTAAAAGCACTAGAAATCCCCTCTTCCTACATCTGGACAAACAGACCAAGTATGATGAGAGAAGCTCTGATTTTGAAATCCAGGACAAAAATTCAATGTCACCTGGTGTATATGGTCAGTATGCACGACACTAACTTAGTGTGCTGTGCTAAACCAAATCCTTTCCATACCTTTCAGCTGACAATCCTCTTCTCTGCCTTTGTTCTCTTCTTTTCCTACTGCTTGCTGTTGAGCTGCGAGTGCGGTGAGTTGTGCAGACTGTTTAATTAGAGACACCCTGTAGAAATAATTTCTCCAGAACACCTCCTCCTTTACGCTAGAGAGAACAAACAGATTTTGATTACTGCATTTGGAAATATGGTTCCTTTTGCCATCTAGCAATGAAATAAAATTAAATATTCACAGGGAAGGAATAGATGTAGCTGCCTTCTAAGTAGAAAATTAGAAATATGAGGTATTAACACCATTTTAAAAAATCCATCATTATAGAAGTTCTTGATCTCTTACAGGACAGTTACAATGGACTTGAACAGATAATAATAATAATGATGACGATGATAATAATGCTATTTCTTCAAAAAAGCTTAACAGCATGCAGCAATACATAATTTGGAACAATATTATGCTGTTCCATCTCTCTTGCCAAATTATGTAAACAAACTCAACAAGCCAAATAACCCTGTTCTCTTCACTTACTCTCTAAAACCCACATTCTGCTGTTGTCAAAGTATAGTCTTCTACATCTTCCCTACCCCTCAGGTGGAACTGGAACATCTTCTATCAATAGGCAGAAGCCATTCCTAGTTTGCAGCAGAACTATTTCACTATCTTCACATCTTCCAGCATGTCCACAGGACCTTCAGTAACTAGAAATTGCCATCTTGGAAATGACCAGCTCTGATACATGTGAGACTATCCCATTTCTTGGGTACCATATCCCTCTGGTTGTCTTCCAGCTAGCAAGAAAAGACCCAACTTTAACCCAGAGAGAAGAGAAGCTAGAAATAGCAAAGCCTGCAGGAGGAATGTGTGGAGGTCAAGAAAGCAAGCAAGCAAGAAAGCAGAGAGTGAAGTTACCTTCCCGCCCTATCAAGCAAAACAGTGACTACTGAGACTAAGAACAGAAAAAACCCTATTAAGCAATGGGGTAGGATAGGCAAGGATAGCATGATGAGGGGCTGAAGACAAGAGCATCAGAGACAGATCTGATGAAGAACCAGAATATGGGCAGAGCTTTAAGACTGACAGCAACAAAGAACAGCAGGGAAGCGGGTAAATAAAGTAAGTAGCTGGGAAGGTTTATAAAAGGAGATTTAAGATAGAAAAGCACACAAGGAAAGATGTTTTCTTTCCTTTTTCCATCCTCAAACAAGAGACTAATGTTGAGAACTCCTACCTAACAAGAATGCTGACCTGTGAAAAACGCTTAAGGAGCAGAGTTTGGGACTGGGCAAGGAAGGAGAACAGCACTGAAATAAAGCTGGGATCAAGAAGCCATAAACATGCCATAACTGCCAGGACAAAGTCTTTATGACTCTTTTAGTTAGGTCCTCTAGAAGGAAAGGAGTCACAACACAGAGATTTTCCCACTGCCTACTCAGAATTTCTTGCTTGCATTGCTACTGTTTTTTGATACATTCTTTTACCATTTCTCCATGGGGTCTCTGACTATCTCCAATAACCTTTTAGGGGTGTCAGTTATACCAATAGATCTGAAAATTTTTGTTGATGCATTTACCTTTGGGAAAGGGATTTTCAATTAATTTAGAATACTGGACCTGGGAAAATTTAAGGCCTCTCCCATACTTAAGTCAACAGGTCCTTATTAGCTCTGAATTTACAACAGATCTACTTCTGGTCTTTCCTCTAGTTGCTAAACTGCAATGCACACGCAACATTCCCTGCATTCGAAATTAGCAGATATAAAATACAATACAGAGGAAGTATATAAAGAAAGAATGGAAGGAAGTAAAAAGAAAAAGGAGTAATTCACAAATATTTACAGACACATCAAAAGAACAACCATACATAGTTACCAGCAGAAATTACTTACTGTTTGGGAACGAGATCAAACCTCATCCTATTGAGGAGTTGATCTTCTTGTAACATCACCAGTGCAACAGGGTACATTTGATCAAAGTCAAAATTAAACTGCACACCTGCTGGAGGATCCCGCAGAAAATTTCGTTTGTCCTTTGAAGAACATAATTATGGTCATTAAGTGATATCAGAAAAGGGATATCGTATTTCACACACAAGACCAGCAAAGCAAGCCCACTTCCCACATAATTCTATCATATCACAAAGCTGTAAAGGCTTTATAAAAATAAAAAATATATTAAAGATCTGCTTTGGCTCAAGTTGATACTGAAAGAACTGCTTACTTTTGCACATGATCAGTGCAGTGACAGACACATTAAAAGAAGCAGATTGAAAATAAATAATTTAATGCCAGCCAAACTTACTTTGGAGGGGGGGGAAAAAAAAAAAAAAGGAGTTTTAACCTCTCCAACGCAAAAATTTCAAAACTAACAGGGAAAAAAACCCCAAAAACCAACTTACTGCTGATAAGGCCAGTATCTGTTGTTGAATCGTCTCTTCTTCATTGCTGTCTACCCAGGGAGGCACTGCTGCTTCTGTTATTGAAAGGAGGAAAATAATTGCATGTATATTACCAAAAAAAAAAAACCCCAAACCAAAACCAAACCCACCTTACATGAAGTAACATACGCACAAAAAAAAAGCAGACTTAAATCAGTAAGCCAATTAATTGTTCCTTTTTCCTAAATTAAACTTTTGGCACAAGAGAGAAACTCTAAGAATGGATCTTTGCTTATGAGAAGTAAATAAATAAATAAATAAATTCCTGATTTCTGTGACTGTAAAACTAAAACTGTGGGGATTTCTTTGCAGTTTGTTCAGTCAGAACTTGGTGCCTCTTAGTTTAGTTACTTAAGTAGTGCTGTATAACTGGTTAAGCTGCCCGCAGATAGAAATTTTTAGATTCACTTTAAACATCTGAACTTTGTCTAAATTAAGTTTCCAAAATCATTTACTGTTGTATTAATTTTCTAACACCCAGAAGATACCAATTCTTCAACAACAGAGAAAAATAAGTTATAAATTTGTTATAAATTGCAACATTATATATGTTACTCGCATACTCCAGTTCAGCTGATTCAAATATTTACACAGATACTTCCAAAATAGTTCTGTTGATGGTACATAGAGGAAAATGAACTACTGTAGATGTATAAAAACCTATTAATTTCTTCACTGTCAATGCAAATTCATCCTACAGAGACATTATAATGCATCTGTAACATTTAACAAATAAACCTTGTGCGTTTAAAACTAACAATGCTTATTTGCCTATGCACCTGACAACAGCAAGATCTTTCACCCACATGGATTCACATCTGATACTAATGCTTCTTTCAGTCAGGCCATCTGTTTGTTACTCCTTCTTTCATCAATCTAGCTTCCTATTTTCATGAAACTTGCAGAAATATATTAAAAAATGCCAAAGTTTACTAGCAGAGACAAAAAGATAGAAATACAGACAACATGATCACATAAGCAGTCTTGCAAGAAGAAATCAGACATACTAACTACAGGCAGTATGAAAAATCTTATTACAATCCATATAAAACCAGCTCATTTTCAAGATTAACAGTAGAGCCACCAATTATTCAAACTGTCAGAAATTATTGCATTCTGGTAACACATTAAAAGACATAAAAGCCAATGATGAAACACAATGTGAAAAAAATAGGGCTTATTTGAAAAACAAATAGATCCACTGATGCCAATGGTACATGAGTGGATAACTCAAAGGATTTAGATCACAAATAATTATAAAGCAAGTAACTTACGGGAAAGCAAAAGAGCAATTATGTCTTTAATGTAAGCAAAGCAACACCTACAGCAAAACTAATTAAATACTACAGTGCAAACCCTAACCTGTGTTTTTCATTTCATTACAAAAACGGGACATGATTGCTACAGCTCAAAAGGACAGTAATCAGCACGTCTGATTTCAACAAATACACAGGCTCAAGAGTCAAAGCAGTAAGAGATCAGCTTTGCTAGCACAGTGATCTTTGAGTTAATTTCATAAAGCTGACTTTGGTTCAAAAAGCAAATCTAAACCCACTAGATAACACTAATCTCACTTAAAAACATCATCTTCCTATTCCACAAAACGTGTTAAGTTCCGCCATAATGTGTTTCATTAAACAGAGTTTTGACAGATTAGGTTTAGATATAGCTCAGTTATCCAGCTGCCAGCAAGTTTTAGCTTATGTAATATTATGCATTATAAAAAAAATCCAACCCATACATTACCTGATTTTTTTGTCTGTTGCTCTTGGACAAATTTTTTCTGTTCCTTCTGAAAATCTCCAATAATTGTCTAAAATAAAAATTAGGGAACCACAATTAAAAAAAAAAAAAAATCACTTCTCTTCATGCTCACTCTGGAAGTGTTTTCAAATACACTGCAGTACCATATTCTTATACACCTGGTGGCTCTTTTCATAAGTTAATTAAAGGTGTTTCACATAAATCATACATTCCCCTTTACTGAAACATCTGATTTAGCCTTTGAAAGTTTAAACTGTTGTGTACACTTTCAAAATTATATTTGTAGTTTTATCAAGCTCAGAGGACCAAAAAAAAAAAAAAAAAAGGGAAGGAAAATCCTAGCCAGGCATATACACTTCCTACCTTACCATATCAAATATAGACAACCATAGACTAACTGTTTAGACCTATTTAAACATATTTTTAAAGCATTAAGCACGTAAAGATACACAGAATCACACAGAATCACCCTTGGCCCTACACTAAATTTCAGGAAGTTTCAAGAGTTGCCTAACAAATATATGCGTTGCAATAAATCAGACTTGTAAAATGGTTAAGTATGATTTTCAGAATGTCTGTTTAGCTGAAATAAAAAATTTCTCCATGTTGTTGACAAATTTTCATCAAAAAATATGTTCAGAGATATCTTACATTAAATTTAGAATTAAAAAATGGAGAATGGTCTCCGAAGTCAGTATGCCATAATCTAGAAGTAACAATGCAGATGTAGAACCACAGAATTGCCTGGTTGGAAAAGACCTCTGAGATCATCGAGTCCAACCGTACCTGTCCACTACTAAACCATATCTCCGAGCACCCCATCTACCTGTCTTTTAAACACTTCCAGGGATGGTGACTCAACCACCTCCCTAAGCAGCCTGTTCTCTTGCCTGATAACCCTTTCAGTGAAAAAATTCTTCCTGACACCCAATCTGTACCTCCGCTGGCACAACTTGAGACCATTTCCTCTTGTT